ACTAGTTTTCCTATCTCTGAGGATGGTTCTGAAATAGAATTGAAACACTGCGCGTCCTCAAAGACAAGCGTTAAGTCGTCACGAAAATATTTCGTGCACTTAAATTGGATAAGACTCGCTACCAATCCCTGTTGACTCGATAGTTATTTCAACACAGTGCTCTCAATTCCACTTACTTCCCATTGCCAAGAATTCCTATAGGATTATCGATAAAAATTCTCCGAGTCAGTATTACTATTACTTAAACTTCCTTTATGTGTCAAATTCTTCTAGCCGACCAATGGTCTACTAATCGGGGACACTCCTATTTACATTAATAATGTTATATCTACGTGTCTATATATAAATTACTGTTAGTATTACTTTTCAATAAAATTAATTGTAAAATAACATGAGTTGATCATAAAAAATTAGGGCTAATTAGTACACAGATAACAATTTTTGCCACAATCCTTATCTAGGAGTCGTCTCAGTCGTGTTACTGTAGGTCTGTCTTCCTAATATGTTTTTAAAATTCTTACTAGTTGTTATACTTCTCTCCGGTAAGTGTTTAACTGAATGCTTACCAAAGCGTACAGTATATATACTGTATTAAAACGAGACTATTGAAAATCACCATTCCGCAAATTGTATGACGATGTATTAGTGTTCAACAGCGAAGTTATGTTCTCCGGTAATAATTTGTTCTTTACTTTACACATAATAGCGATTTCTTTTAATTGTATAACGATGACGTTGTTGACAACGCGAACAGCTTCTGATGGTGAATAATTGCTTGGGTATAACTGGTGGTCATCCGCGTATGCGAAGAGCTGTGACTCTCTTTTCGTGTAGAAAAAATCGTTTTGATAAACATTCCACAATAGTGGTCCCAATGCTGAACCTTGGGGTCACCCTCTCCCTATATAGGGATACCAATCACTAGTGATGCTACCCAGTTTTACTTTGTTCTCTCTTGAAAAAAAATAGGAACGAAGAAGAGTTAGGGCATCCTCAACAGATCATATCTGCAACAGATTTTCCATTGTCTAAAGTTTCACAATTGGTCTATAATTACTACGTTGAAGTGGATCTTCTTTCTTGAACACAGGAACAAACTCACCTTTTTTCTACTGCTTTGGCCATACCTTCTGTTTGATTATTGAATTACTGTATAGATGGTTGTTATAAGGAGGGAGAGAGTTCTTCTGCTGCCAGTTTAAAAATCCTTGGCGAGATCTGGTCGTATCCACAAGATTTATTTCGGATCAAACTCTTTAGACAGTTTAATACTTCTAGTTCTGTTACTGGTTTAAAATAGAACTGTAAAGAGGACTGCGACCTTTGTTGTATCGCCGCTACACAATGGTGTTGTTCCTAGTCGGACTCAATCATACTTAGGGATTGCTGCATGGTTGCCAATATTGTCTGCTATAGAGGAGAAATGTTTAGCTAATATATCTGCTCCCTTTCTTTCGTCTTTTACTATTGTACCTCTATCATTAATGAAAATGTCCGCATTAGAGTCTTTTGCACGGCTTGTATATTCATAAAAGGTTTAAGATTAGAACAAAATCTCTTAGGATTATTCTTAAGATCTTCTGATAAAGTTTTCCAATAGGCTTTAATTGATTGCGGTTGCCGTAGAGGATTTTAATAAAACACAAAACACTTCGAAAATTGTAAACATTTTCATTCTTTACGTTTTGACAAAAATTCAAGAATCTTCAGAAGAACGCCACTCTTTGAATGGCATTGTTCTAAAGGCATTGTCGAAAATATGGCATTGTCGAAACGTAAAGAATGAAAATGTTTACAATTTTCGGAGTGTCTATAGTTGTGTGTTTTAATTGATTGTCTTCTCAATTTAGTGGCACGATTTCTCCATAATTTCATCAGCTTATGATTCTCTTTCGTTGGTAATTTATTGACTTTCTTGGCATACAGTACCTTAGTTTTTTCCGAGTCGCTTTTTTCCTTAAACGTGGCGCAGGGTCTGCTTTTTGGTAATTAATGGCCTAGAGGTCTTGAGAATTACAAAGTTAGATCTTGAGCAGCGTCGTCGAAAGGAATTTCGTATTGTTGGACAAGGATATTTTCATGACGGAAAATGTTTGCACTCATTTTCCTGCGTTTTTGAAAGTATATTATATTTTTTGCACAAATAACAGCTAATTGAATGAATTTTTTAATATTATTTCAATATTTTCAAATATTAGGTAAAAGCCTAAAATTCCTTAGAAATTTATAAAAAAATTCATTTCCTTAAAAACATCATTAAAGAGGTTCAAGTTTCCTCAGTTTAAGAAAATTTCCTTGAAAGTGAGAACGCTGTTTCAGCATCGCATCGGCAATCAAAGAGCTTACTGTAGGTACCTGAATTTATCAACTTGCTCAATCCTATAATAATTAATGAAGACTAATCGCTCTTGGTATTTTGATGAATTTTTCAATCTATTCTTTCTATCATTGCATGATCATCTGGAAATCGGACATCCCTTACCAATTGACCTCTTATTATTACTTCCTCTTTCGATCCATCCATAGCTTCTATCAGAATATTTTCAACAGAGATTGAAAACACAAGAGGAGAAAGCAAGCGTCCTTGCCGCAGTCCTCTTCCAACTTCACAAATATCAGTTTCGTCATCGTCCAATTTAATCATCCGATTTCTTTAAGAATATTCGTCATCTTTCACCATTCCGATCCTATCAAATGCCTTTTCAAAATCAATAAAACTTTCATACACAAAGCTCTTTATCATGATCTATAGTGTCTTAGCATTACTACTCCAATAGCCTCTCTTGTGCCACAGTCTTCTGAAATCAAATTATTCAAATGATGAAACCCATCTAGTCGTTTCAAGACCACTCCAAGATTTGCGTGCATTAGTTATCACGTTTATTAATATTGTTCAATCTATGTTCTTCGTATTCTGTGGCATTAGTCTTTTTTAAATTAGCATGAATATTATTGTCTTTTGAAAATCTTTCGGCCACGTTCAGGGCTTCCTCTTAAATTTTCAGGCATAGCTCTACCAATTCCCTATTTGCATGATCCTTGTCATTTTTAAACACGTATACTACTGCCCTAATCTCACTTGTTTTCCACTTCATATGGTTTTCCCTTTTTGTCGTATCAGTTCTTCATCTGTTCTTTCCATGCATCTACTCTTAACGTTTTATCTCTCTGTAAGCAGGTGTCCGTTTTGTTCTTGATATTTCCTGTAACTTTAGTTTTCCTTGTTATCTCTTACCTTATTGTGCATAAGACTTATCTTATTCATCTCTTCTCTTGCTCTACCCTTCTCAATTCATTATCATGGCATGGAGGGTCGTAATATACCTCCTTTGGCTTTCCTCAGTATTTACATTCTTCCACCGCGCCTTTCATGCACTCAGTTCATCTCAGACTCTATTTTTCTACCCCCTAACGTTCCCCTTCCAGGGTAACTGTGCTCCGTGATCAGATACGAGTCATAAGGTGGCTGCCAGAGGCGCCCTTAGTAAGCTTTCGACTGGATCAGATTGAGCTGCGTCCATACGCAATTCAGCTTAGCTCTCAGCTGCAAGTAAGGATGATTAGCACACCCCACTTACTTACTATCCAATCTCACATCCTGCGCCTTTTAACACACACTTTTTCAATTCTTGCTGAAAGGCAATTCATAGTCACCAGGTCTGCGCAGCGACTAATTATTAAAGAGAATACTTAGTATAATGTGTTGCTAACAGCGTCGTTAGTAAAAAGAAACTAACTGTAAAAACGGACTATAATAAATCGACTACTTACAGCATATTGCATGGCCAGCGTTCGACGTAGAGAACCAGGTGGACCGATAAGAAAAATATCTTGACCCAACTCATCCTAAAAGTAAAAAAAGCGAAACAAGATGAGATTGACTTAATTTGAACTCTCATATGCACTGAACAGCTATAACAAAACACATAATACAGTGTATTTATTTACAATCATAGATTTATAGCGCATGCATCCAGTAAATTGCTCAATCGCAATTAGTTTTACTTGCCTTGAATATTTTCGCAACGATTCGCATTGCAATTATTGTTAAAAATTGAAATAAATGCAATATTGTTGAATTGGAATAAAAAACTCGACTTTTGAAGCGTAAAAAAAACAACTTGCCTGCAACTCGTTTTTTTTTACTAAAGACAAGACAAGAGTACAACGAAAAATAAGTCTACAACAAATCGCAAGCGTCAAGTCGTCGCAAAAATATTTCGTACCTATTACAATATCTAATCCCCAATAATTAATATCGGTAGTATTGAAAATTGAAATCCTTCTTTGATAATCGGATGCATGAGCTGCAATGTTACTCGCAAAATGATCATCTACTAGGTCATGCCAGTCCCTAAACTGTACACGACTATAGTATAGACATAGTACCCTATAGACATACCTTTTGCATGATCCATTTGAGATGTTGAAGAATTGACTCAGAATTATTTGAACCTGTCCCTGTATCTATAATTAATAAAATTAATGTATTTCTTTGAAAATGACGAGGTCGCTACGAAACACTGTCGAATCATATTTCAAATGAAATTAGAACTTACAATACTTGAGGGGAACTTTTTCTACATGTTTGGGCGTCTTCAACGGGATCCTGACATTCCCAATACGTACAGCTTCGTCTAAAAATGATGCAATAGAACCTTGATCAGTCAGGGCGCGAAATAACGGCTGGAGGCTTGCCGGTCAAGCTAGGTGACCGCGGCCAACTCAATTTTAGCTCGGACATCCCGAATTTCTGGCCGGTCAAATTATTCAGCTTAAGCAAAGCCTGGTAAAGTATACCTCTAAAAATGTGACTATTTTCCCAGTATTAAGCATTACAAAAAGCCTTACCGTAATCAGTAATTAAAAACTCCTTCACATAAAACAGCTTGCACTGCGCTGAAAGCTTGGCCGTAACTCTTAAACCAAAAGCATGGCCATGGGCTTTGTGACGTACTGCGTGGGAAAGCTGGCGTACATTGAAGTTCTTTTCCCGCAAAATATTCGACAACATGTTGTGGTTCTTAATTATAATACTTGACAATTTTATTTTGATTATTAATTCAAATGAAGATTAGTTTGTTCTTTTACCAAAAGTGACGGTCAAAATGACCGGCAAGGTAAGAATTCAGTTGACCGGACAACTTCGCATTCTGGCCGGAAATTGTCCGTTGAGCGGCCGTTATTTCGCGCCCTCACCAGTTATTTGATTTTGGTAAAACCTTTGGTATCACTGTATTCCTTATAATTACTAGTAACTAAGAAACTTTACAAAAACAAAATTGACATACAGGTATTATTATTTTTTGACATTTTAATTGTTACTCGAACAGAATCCTTTAATTCCTACAGATTATTTTGTCATGTACAATCAACTAAATCTACCAATGGATACTAGTAACTAATTCCCCATTAACATATTTATTTCAGGCAAGTTTGAGTCCTGAGAATTTTTATTGTAGAGGACTTGATAGAGAAGGAATAACAATTAAATATGTTTACAAAAATACAGTTTATAACTCGATTATGAAGAGAGGATGCTTACTAGAGATGGGGGTTTAATCATATTTTTCCTCCAAAAGGGGTTGTTGCCTTGACATGCTCTCATTTCTACACATTGTCAATGCAGCTTAACACATTGTTTTACTTAACACATGTTTTTTCAGCAAACACAAATACTCACACTTATTCTTTGAAGTGCACATGACAAGACAAAGTAAGAAATGAAGAACAGGCAGGTATGGTGGGGATCAACACAATAATTGATGAGTTAAGGAGAAGTTGGAAACCACCCTATTACCCTTAACCCATTCTCTCTATTTTCAGTCATTTCAATTATTTCAATGAACTTTAACATCTGTCAGGCACATTTGACAAATTTAACTAGTTGAATAAATCATATTCAACCAGTCTCACTTGATTGATTGATCTAAATAAAATTTGTTAAATTACGTTTTGGATACCGGTAACCATTATAAAAATACTGTACGATTTGTATACTGTAGGGTTTGAAGCGCATCATGCATGACCAGGTTGGAATCTGTAACAATTTTACACCGGAGGGTATGTCAATAAGCCACTGACTGCTTACACCAGTATGCCAGTCACATGAGAAACAAGAGAAAAATATAAAGTTTTTGCATGTTGGAGGTTTCACACAAGGTTACAGTCAAACCGGTCATGTTCTGTTCCCCTGAATATAGCAATATTGTTGGGAATATTGCAATTTTGATTGCGAGATTGCTCTGAGCAAGTTGCAACCGACGTGATCAAATTGCAAGTTGAAATTCACAACCAGATTTGTGAACAAAGTCTCTGATTGGCTACTACTAGTAGCAAAGAAGAACCAATCAAATACTCTGAGCAAATGGATTGGTTCTTCTTTGTTTACAAATCTGGTTGTGAATTTCAACTTGCAATTTGATCACGTCGGTTGCAACTTGCACAGAGCAATCTCACAATCAAAATTGCAATATTCCCAACAATATTGCAATATTCAGGGGAACAGAACATCCGGTTTGACTGTAATAAATTGATTGCAGTTGATACACTGCAATATTTCAAATATCAATCTTTCAATTTTCAAAAATCTTCACAATATTACACAAAAACATCAAAATTGCCAAAGATTTTTATTTTATTAATAAGATTTACGTCAATGGCGTAAATATCAACTCTTTGTGCCGGATATATCCAGTGTAACACCCACGGATTCCAACCTGGCATCCTGATTTTCCAACAATTGGGTGTGGTCATGTAGGTGTGGTACATGAAACAATGTAATCCAAGACCATGGTCATTTCTGACCCTAGTTCAAACACAATTAACATATTGATGCAAGCACAATCAATCAACTGCCAGCTTCAATCATCCTGAGTAATAAAACTATAAAAGCAAATAAAATCTGACATAATATAACCCTGAAGGCTGTAGTTGCAACAAATCCCAAGCATATAAAAAACATTTTAAAAAAAATTAAAATGCTTCACCCAGGGTACGCATTACACATTACCTGAAAACGTTCTTTGACATACACTTGGTCTCATAAGGCTATATAACCTCCCCACTTGCCATAGCTGGCCAGCCGGCCACTGTGAACCGGCGATTACAAGCCGATTCATTCAATTAATTATTTTATATATATAGATATTAACTTCATTCGAAGAATTCCTATTTAACTGTAGTTTTGACATCGCAAACGAAAAATAAAAAATACAAAACGTATTTTATTTTTCCTAATAACTTTATATTTCATCAAAAATTTCATTTATATTCTGTGAATACAAAGTCCAAATGATGCAAAACGCTTTGCAAAACGAAGTACTTCAGCACGGAAACAAGAGACCGCTGTGACTGCGCGCGATTTGATAAATTTGGTTGGTCAACAGCACTGAGCTATACTATATTACTGGAGGACCTGCACGGGAAAAAAAAGTGAAGCCAAAAACATGGCGGATTTCGGCCTTTGCTGACGCCATCTCCATGACAACTGGTCCGTATTTCTCATGGTAATTACCACTGACCAGGCTCGGATCTGAGCCCGCTACAATTTCCACACCCCCCTGGTTTTCTTTAAAAAACTTTAGATTTTTGCAATTTTGCTCGGGTTTTGTAGTATTTTCTCGATATTTGAATCGATTTTTAAAATGTTTTCGAGATATTTTTTCTAAACTTGGTTATTGGTTCAAAGATGTGCAAGTCGTACGAGTTATTCTTCCCGAGAAAGACAACAAAATTCAAACCTCGCTGTCCTCGCAAAATGTGAGCAAAGCCAAAGAGGATATTTGAATCAGCGAGCTATAAACAGGTATTTCATTCAATTTTATTTATGCTTTATCTTATCTCACATAAAATTGGTAGGCTTAACTTAAGCTTGACGATGAAATGCAATCTTTTTGTTAAGAAAACAGCCTTTTGCTGTTTTTTTGGTGTATTAATTTGGCAATCTGTTATCTGTATATTTCAAAATTTGGTTGCAGAAACTAAAACTTTTTGTTATCTATACTGTACTTTAGAAAATGGTATTACAGTAACTCCAGACGTTCCTTCAGAGCAAACGGTATGTCAGGTATGTGTTTAAATATATTCAGGTTTTGTGTAATATGTGCCAACTTTGCATACAAGGCTAATCAATGTCAAGATTTTTGGAGTATACTCAAGTATTTCCCAAAATACCCCCCCCCCCCCAAAGAAAATGTTGCTGCTGTATGATGAAAAGGTAGTACATTGGCCATTTATAACACATTGTTGGGGGGCAGAGGGTTGTAGGGGTGATGAAAGCTCAGGTGGTACATAACGTCTATCATAACCTTTATAATTAACCAATTGAGCTGCAATGCGCCCCACTGGGGAAGCTCTGCAGCCAGGGCCATACACAGCGGGGAGGCAAGGGTGGCAACTGCCCCCCAGAGAAAACTATATTCACGATTTTTAGAATGTCGTTAATTATTCTTGGGATATTTGGGACTTTTTCAGCATATAGGCCTTACTCCCC